ACGGAAAAATGCACATTAGTTTTTACTGCAACCCAAACTCTTCCAACACTTAAAACAACAAACACTTATTATTTCTCATGATTCTATGCATCAGCTGGGTGGGTCTTCTGGGCGAGCTCACTTGGACTGCACGGTCTAGGATGGCCTTTTTTAAAAATACCTAATGGGGATGGGGAATACATGTAACTCCATGGCTGATTCATGTCAATGTATGACAAAACCCACTGAAATGTTGTGAAGTAATTAGCCTCCAACTAATAAAAATAAATGAAAAAACAAACAAACAAAAAAAAAACCAAAAAAAAACCCTAATGGTTGATAGCCAGGTTGCTCTGGAGAGACCTCAGCTGGGCCTTGTTATTTCCCCTTCAAATCATGGCTCCTCTCCAGCAGGCTAGATCAGGCTTCTTCAGGAAGTAAGCTCAATGTTCTAAAGAGCAGAGAGAGTGAGCCCACATGCGCCAGCATCTTTTAAGTCATTGCTCAACTTGCTAATGTCCCTGGATGAAAGCAAGTCCCTGGATGACTAAGCCCAGAGTCAGTGCCAGAGGGGACAACACATGGTCATAGATATAGGAAGGAGTGAAAAACTGGGGGCAAATACTACCATGAACGGTAAATTGCACACTGAACTAGGTTTAGGGTTTTCTGGGCTGGGTCAGAGAAGGAGAAGGCTTCGAGGAACTACATTTTTGGTGAAAAAGTATGTTGTTCACATGAAACAACCATGAGCTGCAGTTGAAAAGAAAAGGAAATGAGATAGAGGTGTTTACAGACTGGAAGAAAATGATGTTACAACTTGGGAACCCATTCGAACATGGTGGGGGGAGACGTTCCCACACCAACAAAAAACTCTTGGCCACCAGCTGGGTATCCTAAATTTAACCTGATTCACAATTGGAAAGGTTAATGGCTCAGTCTTACAAGACTCCCATCACCCCTCAGATGCCAATCTCAATTACGTTCACTGGGTTTAAATCTGACATTGAAGATGTGTGAAAGAATAAGGAACAACGAAGTGATATAAATTGAACACATGAAGTATAATGTTATAAAGCAATGTAACCTCAATAAAAAATAAAGTTTAAAGAAGTGACATAGGGCTTCCCTGGTGCTCCAGAGGTTAAGAATCCGCCTTGCAATGCAAGGGACACCAGTTTGATCTCTGGCATGGGAAGATCTCACATGCCGCAGAGCAACTTACCCTGTGTACCACAACCACCAAGCCCACGTGCCTAGGGTCAGTGCCTAAAGAGAAGCCTGCGCACCGCAAGGAAGAAGAGACCCCACTAACCACAGCCAGAGAAAGTCCGGGAGCAGCAACAAAGACCCACCACAGGCAAAAAAGAAAATAAATATATCTTCAAAATAAATAAATAAGTGACATAAACTGAAAAAAGCACTTTTTATTTTAGAAATAAAAAACATAGCAATCAAACTTCAGACAAAATGACTGGGTGGATTTAACAGATTAGTCACAGATGAAAAGAGAATAAAGTAATATTGACACTTTACTGTTGCTGTTCAGTCACTAAGTCGTGTCCAGCCCTTTGCAAACTCGTGGACTCCAGCACACCAGGTTTCCCTGTCCTTCACTATCTCCCAGAGTTTGCTCAAACTCATATCCATTGTGTCGATGATGCCATCTAACCATCTCATCCTCTCTTGCCCCCTTCTCCTCCTGCCCTCAATCTTTCCCAGCATCAGGGTCTTTTCCAGTGAGCCGGCTCTTCGCTTCAGGTGGCCAAAGTATTGGAGCTTCAGCACAAGTCCTTACAATAAAAATTCAGGATTTATTTCCTTTAGAATTGACTGATTTGAACTCCTTGCAGTTCAAAGGACTCTCAAGAGTCTTCTCCAGCACCAGAATTCAAAAATATCAATTCTGCAGTGCTCAGCCTTCTTTATGCTGCTGCTGCTAACTTCAGTTGTGTCTGACTCTGTGCAGCCTACCAGGCTCCGCCATCCCTGGGACTCTCCAGGCAAGAATACTGGAGTGGGTTGCCATTTCCTTCTCCAATGCATGAAAGTGAAAAGGGAAAGTGAAGTTGCTCAGTTGTGTCTGACTCCTAGCGACCCCATGGACTGCAGCCCAGCAGGCTCCTCCGTCCATGGGATTTTCCAGGCAAGAGTACTGGAGTGGGGTGCCATTGCCTTCTACGCAGCCTTCTTTATGGTCCAACCCTTTTTTTTTTCGGTCCAACTCTTATATCCGTACTAGTTGTTTACTAGGCTTGCTATATTGACAGCTTTTGTCCCATTTTATTCCATCTGCATTTTGAAATTCCTAGATAGTTGAGACCCAATAAACTCATTCACACCTCTCATGCTATCATTTAATCGATATATTTTAATTAAAACTGATGATTGCACCATACAAGACAACAGTGTCAGAGAGATACAGTTTTTAAAAAGCTTTCACTACACGGCAAAGGTGACGACTGGAATTTGTACCTCTGACAAGTCCCTCAGGTGCTGGTGTCTCCAGAATAACCTAGACACAGCTGACTTCATTGGTGACTTCCCTGTGACTCCTGCACTCTTGGGCAGAAAGAGGAATCGGTTTAGGAAGAAAGCAAGTTCAACTTTTATTCTGACTTGCGGGTTGATAAAATTTTCCATTGGGAAATTTTTAAACCAGCGAAGTGCCACCTATGAAGTAAACTTAGTAAAGGCAACTGTCAAATATAGAATTAATGGTTTATTAGACTCAGTACCATATTTGGAAGGACTCACTGATTTCCACTGATCACTAGTAGTCTTGAATCTGTGATGAGACAAGAAAAATAAGGTCTGTAGAGTTTTTCATAAAGCTGATTTAGAGTACGGGTTCTTTATGAATTTTTAGAGAGTTTTCTTTTTATTTTGGGGGTCAAATGTAATTTTTAAGTGAAATGAGGCCAATAGAAAATGGCAGTTGTTTTTGGTTTTGTTTCATAGATTGGTGAAAATTTTAAATTGTTATCATGTTGATTCCCCAAATTATTTTGAAAATCTAAATTGATCCTCAAAGTTCAAAAGACTGGGACCATCACCAATGTTGTCTACTATTATTTATTCATCCAGCAAACATGATGAGGGCCCACTATGTGCAAAAAATTGGCCACAAATAAAATGACTGCACTGCATGCCCTCCTGCTTACAGTAAGAAAGGGACACATTTATCAGTAGTTACTAACAAGTTAAGTAGTGTTAGTTCTTCTGGGAAAAGATGTGAGGGAAGGCTTGTTTGTCTGGGGAATTAATCTCTTAGTGAAAGAAGAAAGCTGCCTTGAAAATGAGGCTTCCCTAGTGGCTCAGGGGTAAAGAATCTACCTGCCACGAAGGAGAAGTGGGTCCCTGGGTTGGAAAGATCCCCTGGAGAAGGAAATGGCAACCCACTCCAGTATTCTTGCCATAGACAGAGCATCCTGGCAGCCTACAGTGCATGAGTCACAAAGAGTTGGACGCCACTTAGTGACTGAGCACATTCACATGCCTTGAAAATGCACAGGTATTTGATGAGGGAAAAGGAATGGAGGCAAGAGAAATCTTACTCCAAGGAATTTTAAATCGCTCTAAATGTCCAGAGCTGGGGTATCCACTAAAGACTAAGGTAGTGTGAGAATGAAAACAGAGGTAAGTCAAGATAAAAGAGGTTTTGTAGGCTAAGCTAAGGACTTTTTTTGCCCTAACAGTAAAGAACCTGCCTGCCAATGCAGGAGACTTAAGAGATGTGGGTTTGATCCCTGGATCTTGAAGAGCCCCTGGAGGAGGGCATAGCAACCCACTCCATTATTCTTGCCTGAGGAATCCTATGGACAGAGGAGCCTGGTGGGCTACAGTCTATAGGGTTGCAAAGAGTCGGACATGACTGAATCGACTTAACACACCCACAAGGACTTTTTAAAAAATAATTGTGATAAAAACACAATATAAAAGTTATCATTTTAACCATATTTAAGTGTACAGTTCAGTAGCATTAAGTATATTCATACTGTTGTGAACTAAGCAGGCTAGGATTGGAGATTTAGGAAGACTGTTTTAGAAAGTAAGGGTCACAGGAGGTAAGGGATGTAGGCTTGAAGGACTGGAAGAGATTAAAGGACTTGAAGGCTAGTGGGAGTGATGTGACTCCAGCCAGGTTTCTCACTTGGTAGCAGAGATTCTTGCCAGAGGGGAACTCAACATACCACTGGCTGAGTACCAAGCCTACCTGGGCCAGCTTTTCAGAGACTGATTACACATTTGAGGCTAGCAGACCATATCCAGCCAGGAGGAATTTCCTTATCCCCTGCAACTGAAACTTTTCCCGAAAATATCAAAGTATCTGGAAACGCTGCAACCATAGTCCCTCATACTCTCAGGCAAACAATGAGAACTCACGCCACTGGAACAAACACCCCCCCCCCCCCCAAAAAAAAAAAACCCATCGCTCCCAAAACACCTTTTTATCAATGTATAAGAAATTTATAGAAAAGTACACTAGTGTACAGCTTGATGGATGCTCACAAGGCGAACGTATTCCACTAACCAGCAGCTTTCAATAACAAGCAAAATTTAACCAGTATCTTCAATGTTACACATATTTAATCTTAATCCTACGAGGTAGATCACACTACTGCCTCCAACTCAAATACAAGGAAGTACAGACAAGTCACAAGGCTAAATATTATTACTGAAACTAGCATAGAAACCTAGGACCTGCTGTCTAATCCCGAATCCCACAGGTTTGGGGTTTGAGAAGAAACAGGCTTGAAATGATACGGTGAGTTCAGCTTCGATTGACGCTGAGTGAGCGTCCGCTTCCAAGGAAACCTACTTCCGGACTTCAGAGCCTCGGAAACCATCTTTACCAGGAGTCCGCACCTCAGATTACCAGCGCCAGCACTTCCGGAGCTCGGCCTCTCAAGTAGCGGCCGCGGCATTCTGCACAGCCTCCCCACACATGAGGGCGCTGTCACAGGCACAGTCGGACGCTTGCCTCTCTCTGTTGTCGCGATATTCTTGAGGCCGGAAGAGCGTAATGTCGAAGGTCACGTAGACAGCGCGTCCCGCCCCGCACGCCTAAGTTCTCGCGCGAATTGCACTTCCGCCCTTTTGGCTCTCTGAGCTGCACCATGGCGGTCGGCAAGAACAAGCGCCTTACGAAAGGAGGCAAAAAGGGAGCCAAGAAGAAAGTGTAAGTGGCAACTATCGCGGCCTCCGCTTTGAGGGACTCCTGCCGGAGTCGGCGAGCGGTTTCTGAGCCGCAGAGTAAGCCGGATGGCGAGGATTCTAGTTGGATTACGCTGGCAGTGCGGGGTTGGTAAACTGAACCGCGGCCCGGCGGCGGCCGGTGCTGCTTTGAGGCGGGCCGACTGTTTTTCCTCTGGCCTTCTGGGCCTAACGCGCGCCCCTTTTGAGTCAGGTTTCTGTCGCGAGTCGGACAGGAGCTGTGGAATCATGGGCTTCGTAAATTCCACGGATAATACCTTTCTAAGATCTGGAGATGTGAAAGGCACTTTTGCGGTTCACTCAGGACCCTGCGCCTCTCCGCTGCTTGGGCCGGGTGGAAGCTAGCACGAGGTCCTAGAGCGTGCGGGTTACCAGTGTGTGTCTTCACGAAATAGTAAAAGTGAAGCGACATTGCTTGTCTGGAGGCAGTGTTGGTATGGTGGGAGGACCGATGGTGTGGGGAGAGGGTTTATGTTCGTGGCATTATTAATTGACCGGAGTGAAGAGCTAGATTTACGTGTGCGCCTCTAACCTCGCTGAGAAGAATTTAGTTAGCCTTTTAAAGTAATTAGAATGAGGAAAGTTCAAAACAATTACCTGATTTTAAAACTTAAGCATGTTTTTAAATCTAGGGTTGACCCATTTTCTAAAAAAGATTGGTATGATGTGAAAGCACCAGCTATGTTCAATATAAGGAATATTGGGAAAACATTGGTCACGAGGACTCAAGGAACCAGTGAGTATCTTATTCTTCGTTGTTTTTCTTCCATTGAGACATGCGTGTATCTTGGTCTACTGTTCGTTCTGTGTTGGGATATTTAAGGAAATGTCAGCTTTTGATTGCGACTTTGGCCCCATTGGGGACTGTTTGTCCTATGGCGCTTGTGGAAGCAAGATGGTACTTTTAAGAATTACCAGTAAAATGGGCATGGTTAGTTTTGAGCTTCTAATAAGCACTGTCAGTAGTCATTGGTGACCATATGGATCTAGTTAACAAACGTTAAGGTCTTTATAATTTTCTTAATGCTTGAACATTAACTTAGCTGGCTTGACTTTGCTTATGTTGTTCCTAATGATAACAATTGATTCTTGTTTTATAGAAATCGCGTCTGATGGCCTCAAGGGTCGTGTTTTTGAAGTGAGTCTTGCTGATTTGCAGAATGATGAAGTAGCATTTAGAAAATTCAAGCTAATTACTGAGGATGTTCAGGGCAAAAACTGCCTGACTAATTTTCATGGTATGGATCTTACCCGTGACAAAATGTGCTCCATGGTCAAAAAATGGCAGGTGAGGAGAAAATGCCTGGTGCTGCAGTGGGCATGGTCAAAGCTGTCGTGACTTACTGTCAGGACAGAGCGTGTTGTCCTCTTGCGGGGTAGATTGTTTCAGTCTGATGTCTTCTCGCTGCCGTTGGGTGTGGACTTGAGCGTGAGCGGCAGCCGTGGTGGTCCGTTGCTCACTTGTCCCCACACTCTGTGACCCGTGGACTGAGCTGGAAAAGCTCCTGTCTGTGGGGTTTCCCAGGCAAGAATAGTGAAATGGGTAGCCATTTCTTTCTCCAGGGCATCTTCCCATCCAGAGATCCAACCTGTGTCTCCTGCATTGCAGGTGCATTCTTTACCAATAAGCCACCCAGGAAGCCCTTAAACTGAGTTCAGGATTTAATATTGGATTATCATCAAAGTTTTTTTTGCTGCATGAATTAGCACAGGTTTGCAGTTTTGGCTTTGCCTGTTCTCAGAATACCTTTGAACTTCAAAATCTTGTGAATTTTATCATGGGGGGAGACTGGGCTAGTTTTGTCTGTTGTACTATACAATAGGAGAGACAGAGCCTCTGGAGTGAGATTGAAATTTGGTTACCTTTTCCCAGTTATAGTCTCTGAAAAGTAAGTTTAGTCCAATCCAGTCTCTTAGTCCTGTCCAACTCTTTGCGACCCCATGGACTGCAGCACCTTCCCTGCCCATCACCAACTCCTGGAGCTTGCTCAGACTCATGTCCATCGAGACATTGATGCCAAAACTATCTCATCCTCTGCTGTCGCCTTCTTTTCCAATGAGTCAGTTCTTCACATCAGGTGGCCAAAGTATTGGAGTTTCTGCTTCAGCATCAGTCCTTCCAATGAATATCCAGGATTGATTTGCTAATTTAGGATGGACTGGTTGGCTCTCCTTGCAGTCCAAAGGACTCTCAAGAGTCTTCTCCAACACCACAGTTTAAAAGCATCAATTCTTTGGTGTTCAGCCTTCTTTGTGGTCCAACTCTCACATCCATACATGACTACTGGAAAACCATAGCTTTGACTAGATGGACTTTAATTGGTATAAAAAGTAACTTACCGCTTGCTAAGCCTTGGTTTTTTTTTAAATGTAGGTAAGAACATTAGCTCATGGAATCAGGATGAAATAAAAGATCCATGTAAGCATGCTTTGTACAGAACTTGTTAACAGAGCATTTGCTACAAGTTAGTTTTAACTACAGGAAATAACGTCATTGGTTCAGATACCATTTGGGAATGTTTTGTGTGTGGGAATGAATGATGACAAAATGTTTCGGTCCCAAATGATATAATGATTATACTGTTACATTTCTGACATTCCCCTAAGGTTTTATAGTTGTATTTCTGGAGGTATTTTTGAGATTTTTCACTATGATTGCATTATATTCATTTTTTTTAAGTAAGGCATAAAATTTAGAAAATGCAAAGAGGGCAAATCTTTTCAAATTTAGGTAGTGTTAAGAGTATGGATTTTTTAAGATTGTTTTAGCCATGAAATTGAATCCTTATTGTGGCTTTGGTTTGGAACATAAAGGACATTTTAGAGTATATGTGTTTGGTGTTATTACATTAAATGTCAGTATTGTAGAGTCTCCCAGAACCCATTTTTTGTTTACTTGCAGAGTTAAAAAATTGACTGGGGGAGGAGCAGATTGTTAAAGGCTAGCATATGTATGTAAAAGAGGGGGTTCTTTGCAGATAGTGATAATGAGGCTAGAGAAGCTACCTGGAGGAGGGGAGGAAGACAGCCGAGAGGACTCAATGTTTATTAGGTCTGGAGGAGAGTAAGAATTCAAGATGACTGTTGGTAAGTTCACTTCAAGGACATTAACACTGTGAATTAGCCCATTTATATTATACTTGATATTGTGTAATGAATACTTGACCTTCCACTTTTTTTAAATTGGGATTTGAGGGATAAAAATGGATAACTTTAAGTCTGGTATAACTGACGGTGTCATTTTTTCACTAGACCATGATTGAAGCTCACGTTGATGTCAAGACTACCGATGGTTACTTGCTTCGTCTGTTCTGTGTGGGTTTTACTAAAAAGCGCAACAATCAGATCCGGAAGACCTCTTACGCCCAGCACCAGCAGGTGCGCCAGATCCGTAAGAAGATGATGGAGATCATGACCCGAGAGGTGCAGACAAACGACTTGAAAGAGGTGGTCAATAAATTGATTCCAGATAGCATTGGAAAAGACATAGAAAAGGCTTGCCAATCTATTTATCCGCTCCATGATGTCTTCGTTAGAAAAGTAAAAATGCTGAAGAAGCCCAAATTTGAATGTAAGTGAAGTCACGGGATTTCTGAAAGAAAATTGTGTAGAAAAGTAGAAAAATATATTGTTTCCTCATTTCTTTTTTTTTTCTTTTTTGAGGCCAGATGTTACTTTTTCTCCTCTTGTCTTCCCTGTATAGTATTATAGAGTATTGATTGTTTCAAGATATGGTAGGCTGTAACAATTTTAATTTTCTCCTTCTTTTCAGTGGGAAAACTCATGGAGCTACATGGTGAAGGTAGTAGTTCTGGAAAAGCTGCTGGGGACGAGACAGGTGCTAAAGTTGAACGAGCTGATGGATACGAACCACCAGTCCAAGAATCGGTTTAAAATGCAGACTCTTAATGGTGACAAATAAAAGATCTTATTTGTGGTAGTTTTTCCCTGATCATTTTTTTAAAATAATCTTGACAGCTTGTTTAAGATGTTCTGATTTGTGGTGAAGTTTTCTTACCTTTTATGTGTATTTTATGTTTTTAGTTACTAAGTAGCCGAGAAAGGGTAAGATCTATTTTAAGCAGGAATGGTCTTAAAGTATTATAGATGGTGAATAAAAGGAAACCCTTTGTTTACATGGTTGAAGTTTTGAAAGTGAAAGTCACTCAGTCGTATCTGACTCTTTGGCAAGAATACTGGAGTGGGTTACCATACCCTTCAGGGATCATCCCAACCCAGGGATTGAACTCAGGTCTGCATTGGAGGCAGAGTCTTTACAATCTGAGCCACGAGGGAAGCCAAGGTGGTTCTCAAATCTCTGAAAGTCTTATTAAAACATTTCGGGGCCTTTCTTCCAGAATTTCTGATGTTGTAGTTCTAGGATGAAGTCTGCAGTTTGCAAGTTTTCAGGTGATACGGGTGACAAGGAGCCATACTTTGTGAACCACCGTCATAAACCGCACAGTGGAAAGAAAAGAGCTTATTGCCATTTAGGTTTTTCTGGGTTTGTCTTTTAAAAATATAAATGCTGTCTTCTGTTCTCTAGAGGTAAATCTCCCACTGACAACCTTAATGGTCAAGCTGAAGTTGGCTAGACAAGTGGAGAAACTGGTTATTGGTTTCCTGTTAAGTGGGCATTTGTCTGCTATCCAGTATTTCCTTCTAGTCACTCACCCATTCTGTTCTATACCTTCTCTGCTCAGACCTCTGGTTTTTCATTCTCAGTTCAGCTGATGGCCTTGCTTCTTGAGAATAAGAACCTCAGAAATCCTGTTATTTCCACCCTACCTCATGCTGGGAAGGGCTGAAGGCAAAAGGAGGAAGGAGGTGGCAGCGGTTGAGAGATGGATACCATCACTGACTCGGTGGGATCTGAGCAAATTCTGGAAGATAGCGAAGGACAGAGACGCTTGGTGTGCTGTAGTCCATGGGGTCGCAGAGTCAGACACACAAGCCTCAGATTCTACCGTCTGTTCTTGGCTCCATCAGTTCTCACCTTTTTCATTCCTCTGCCCTTCCAGATACATCCGTATTCAAACTTACAGCAAAGCTTGAAAGAGTTAACCATATTTCTTGCACGTAATTTTACTTTTCTTGCTTGAATCTGTTGCATTTGGGCTTTTCTCTGACACTTTTTCTTACACACCACTCTTAAGGAAGCTGTTGCTGTCAGAATCAACAGATGTCACTGCTAAGCCAGTGGTTGGTTCACCCTTGGCTTTCCTTTTACTCCTGTAACAGGATGACTGACAGTTGATTTTCTCATGTTTCTTAACTGTCTCCTGGAATTGGCCCTCAGACTTTCCCTCCCATGTTGCTGGCTGCTGTTTGCTAGCTTGTTTCAGGCTTCAGTGTTGGAGATCCCCAGTCCTTTTATGTTTACCAATATTCTTTCTAAAAATAGTCTTACTCAATTTTTTGGTTTTAAATAAACTGACTCAGAATTTTACTTCTAGTCTGTACTTTTTTTGAACTCCAGGTTTGTCCCTCCAACTCCCAGCTTAATGTCGATAGGCATTTAACATGTCTAAAATTGTATGACTGAACAACTTCACCCATCCTATTACTTTTTACAATTTATTTTCTAAGGAAAATACTTACTTGGCTGCATCAGGTCTTAGTTACGGCAAATAGGCTCAGTGATTGAGGTGCATGGACTTGGCTGCTTCATGGCATCTTAGTTCCCCAACCAGGATCGAACCCTGGTTACCTGCATTGCACAGAGGATTCTTAACCACTAAAATGCCAGGGAAGTCCCCCCATCCTGTTTTAGACCAAAGTAAGTCCTCTGGTCATCGATTGACAGTTCATTCAAAAGAAATTTGGCAGTCCAGTGGTTAGGTCTGTGTTTTTAGTGCCAAGGATATAAGTTTTTAATAAAGAAGAAACTATCTGGAATCTAACCATTTCTTACTGCCTCCATTTCTGTCACTTTGGAGGAAGTCATTACCAGCCTGTGCTAGGAATTGGTTGTGTTCAGTTGCTCAGTTGTGCCCGACTTGCAACCCCACAGACCGCAGTACACCAGGCTTCTCTGTCTTTCACCATCTGGAGCTTGCTCAAACTCCTGTCTGTTGAGTCTGATGCCATCCAACCATTTCCTCTGTCATCCCATTCTCCTGCCTTCGATCTTTACTAGCATCGGGGTCTTATGAACTGGCTCTTCACATTAGGTGGCCAAAGTATTGGAGCTTCAGCATCAGTCCTAATGAATATTCAGGATTGATTTCCTTTAGGATTGACTGGTTTGATCTTGCAGTCCAAGGGACTCTTGGAAGAGTCTTCTGCATCACCAATTTAAAAGCATCAGTTCTTTGGTGTTAGCCTTCTTTATGGTCCAACTCTCAAATCCATACATGACTACTGGAAAAACCGTAGCTTTGACTATATGGACCTTTTGTTGGTAAAGTAATGTCTTTGCTTTTTAATAATGCTGTCTAGGTTTATCATAGCTTTTTTTTTTTTTTTTGTCATAGCTTTTCTTGGAAGGAGCAAGTCTCTTTTAATTTCGTGGCTGCAGTCACCATCTACAGTGATTTTGGAGCCCAAGAAAGTAAAGTCTGTCATTTTTTCCATTGTTTCCCCATCTGTTTGCCATGAAGTGATGGGACCAGTTGCCACAATCTTTGTTTTTTGAATGTTGAGTTTTAGGCTAACATTTTCACTCGTCTCTTTCACTTTCATCAAGAGGCTCTTTAGTTTCTCTTTGCTTTCTGCCATTAGGGTGGTGTCATCTACATATCTGAGGGTATTGATGATTCTCCTGGGAATGTTGATTCCAGCTTGTGCTTCATTCATCCTGGCATTTCACATGATGGACTCTGCATAGAACTTAAATAAGCAGGATGACAACATACAGCCTTGATGTACTCCTTTCCTATTTGGAACCAGTCTGCTGTTCCATGTCTACTTCTAACTTGCTTCCTGACCTGCATACAGGTTTCTCAGGAGACAGGTCAGGTGGTCTGGTATTCCCATCTCTTTTAAGAATTTTTCAGTTTGTTGATCCATACTGTTGTTGTGCCAAAGGCTTTGGCACAGTCAATAAAGCAGAAATAGGTGTTTTTCTGGAACTCTCTCACTCTTTTGATGATCCAGTGGATGTTGGCAATTTGATCTCTGGTTTCTCTGGCTTTTCTAAATCCAGCTTGAACATCTGGAAGTTCACAGTTCATGTACTGTTAAAGCCTGGCTTGGAGAATTTTGAGCATTACTTTCCTAGCGAGTGCAGTTGTGTGGTATTTTGAACATTCTTTGGCATTGCTTTTCTTTGGGATTGGAATGAAAACTGACCTTTTCCAGTCCTGTGGCCACTGCTGAGTTTTCCAATTTTGCTGGCATTTTGAATGTAGCACTTTAACAGCATCATCATTGAGGATTTGAAATAGCTCAGCTGGAATTCCATCACCTCCACTAGCTTTGTTTCTTGTGATGCTGCTTAAGGCCCACTTGACTTCTCACTCCAGGATGTCTGGCTCTAGGTGAGTGATCACACCATCATGGTTATCTGGGTCATTAAGATTTTTTTGTGTGTAGTTCTGTGTATTCTTGCCACTTTGTTAATATTTTCTGCTTCTGTCAGGTCCATACCATTTCTGTCCTTTATTGTGCTCCTCTTTGCATGAAATATTCCCTTGGTATCTCTTAATTTGCTTGAAGAGATCTCTAGTTTTAAATTGTTTTCCTCTATTTCTTTGCATTGTTCACTTAGGAAGACTGTATCTCTCCTTGCTACTCTCTCAGTCAGATGGGTATATCTTTCCTTGTCTCCTTTGCCTTTTGCTTCTCTTCTCAGCTATTCTTAAGGCCTTCTCATAGACATTTGCCTTTTTGCACTTCTCTTTCTTGGGGATGGTTTTAATCACCGTCTCCTGTACAATGTCATGAACCTCCGTCCATAGTTCTTCAGGCACTCTGTATCAGATCTAATCCCTTGAAAATATTTGTCACTTGCATTGTATAATTGTAAGGGATTTGATTTAGGTCATAGCTGAATGGTCTAGTGGTGTTCCCTACTTTATTCAGTTTAAGTCTGAATTTTGCAATGAGTTGTTCATGATCTGAGTCAGTCAGCCCCTGGTCTTGTTCTGACTATGGCACTTCTCCATCTTTGCAAAGAATGTAATCAGTCTGATTTCAGTATTGGCTATCTGGTGATGTCCATGTGTAGAGGCAGCTCCTGTGTTACTGGAAGAGGGTGTTTGCTGTGACCACGCGTCCTCCTGGCAGAACTCTGCCAAGAGTTAGCCTTTGCCCTGCCTCATTCTGTGCTCCAAGGCCAAACCTGCCTGTTACTCCAGGTTATCTCTTGACTTCCTACTTTTGCATTCTAGTCCCCTATAGTGAAAAGGATATCTTTTAGTTCTAGAAAGTGTTGTAGGTCTTCATAGAACCATTCAACTTCAGCTGCCTTGGCATTATTGGTTGGGGCATAGACTTCAATTACTGTGACATCGAATGGTTTGCCTTGGAAACAAAGATCATTCTGTTGCTTTTGAAATTGCACCCAAGTACAGATTCCTCACTTAAATGGCCCCAAAGCTTATGCTTTTACCTCTTAAATCAGTAGATCCTGCTGATACGTTCATCCCTGTCCTTCAGTCCTTTCCCTCTTATTTTTCTATAGTTTTAACTTCTGGCTACTAGGAAAATTCCATGTGGACAGCTTTTTTGGGGGGAGGAAGGTGGAGTCTGGCTCACTGCTACACTCTCCAGTCCCTTGAAGTTCAGTATTTTTTGAATAAAGGAATGAATGGCATTCCTTTACTGAAGAAGCAAATGTTTTTAGTAGAAAACAGTTGTAGATTTGGGTCTGAAGTGACAGGTGCTTCCTTTCCAAGGTAGAAGTTGGGAGTTGAGCCTACAGGGTGATATTCAAGGTGGGGACCAGGAGTGGAGAAGTGGCTTGCTGCTTCATGCTGAACATCGAGTAAGATGATACAG